GTCAAAATGCCAGTCAAGGCCATCATTTTTCCTGTAGACCTGCAAGCTTAAGGCCCCCAAAGGATCAGCTGTACGATAAAGCGCGTCTTTGTTTAGCAAAAGTCGAACAAAATTTGTCATCTCCGATGACATATAAAGCTGATTTAGCGGCGAGTTTGTCTTGATTTGGTCGTTTGCGATGCAACATTTTGAAGATCGACACAATAAATTCCTCGCGTGATCTTTCTCGAGGACAGAATCTTGACATTCCTCAAGATAGACCGTGTGATCAACTGCTTTACAAAATGCATCTGGTAAGGCTTCTTCTGTGTCTATGATTGTTTGGCGAATAGCCCAAGGAAGCATAAAATCCCGCAACAAGGCAATGCCATTGTCGTTCAGTTCGCCTCTAGCACGGCTTATAATTTCTTGGAGAATGTGGCTCTTAGACTCAGCAATCGGATATCTTTGGTAGTTGATAATATTCCTTACATCACCAGCCATTGTGAATGACGAAAAATCTCTGCTACTACTATACAACCCAATTCCGAATCGAGTACAAATATCACGTGATACTGTACATTTGGTTATTTTGTACTGTAAAGAAAACCTGTTTAACCGGTCGGTCGTGGTTGCTATCTGCTTTGCTTTTCCTGCCTTAAGATAAAGCAGTTGGATGGTAAATAGAATATTATTAGTTTTCGTGCGTAGAATCACTGAGCATTTTTACTCATTATTTTGACTCGCCCCTCAGGCTCGTCAAAATACGGTGCAAATCGTTAACACACTCAGTGATACTACTCACTAAAAAATGTCTAATAAGATTTATTTATCGATAGCCGTTCTTCATTAGATGATTGAATAAACGTGCCAGCTGCATGTTGTTAGTAGCAAGATGTAAACAAATTTGCGGGAACAAAAATGCATGCCCATAATCGTCTGAGGGAGAAGGGGCTAGAAATGGTGTCAGTGCGTGGCAAGAACTGGAAATTCTTCTCGTAAACCCTATGATACTAGACACTGAAATGCCTACAAAGATATACTATTGATACGCTTCGGCTGTATATATTGTTATGATAATAAGATGTACACAAATTCGCCGCAAAAGATACTTCATGCTCACGTGTTGTGCTCACATAGTAGAGAGTTTAAGATACCTGGACGGCTGACCTCGAGGACGTTAACATTGAGCGCGAGGGACTGGGTCGATGACGACTACCTTGGCGGGAAACTTTTCACGTTAAGGAGCAGATTTCAAGCTGAGGACGACAACGTTTTGTTCATCATGGCATCTTTAAGAAAGACTCGTGAAATGATTGTTATTGCTTACGCGGAAGGGCTATTGACGGATGAAGAGTTTAGAGTTTCGAGCTCCGAAGTGGGTTCCACGTCAATCCCCGACGAATTTTCCTCCTCTCGAATTTT